TATAGTATTTGTTTTATGGCAGTTTATTTAAGTTCTCCTACTAAGTTAGTGTACATATGATCTAAACTAGAAGACTTTATCGCAGTGATGAACATCTTGGCTATGTAGAAGGGGAGTGCTACAGAGTGGTCATAGGGCAATCCAGAATTTAGGTACAGCTATGAAGGTCTTATGTTAAGGCTCTGTCTGGTTGCCAACGGGAGTGCATTGCTCAAATAAAATCTACAGATATGTAAAGACCGTTCCTGATTGTCGTAGCTTCATCGAATGTGAATGCACGATTCCAGGAAGGGTATGCCGTTTGTAAAATTGCAGCCCTGGGGTAGAACGGCGTTAACAGAAATATTGGATGAGCAGGGCGGCTGTGGGCGGGTAGTGAAAGAAATACAGAATGAGGACAGTAGATACTATCTTTCATCCACAACTTTAAAATTGAATGTATATATGGACTTGGAGGAGTAAAGACCTACAGCATAAAAATTAGATGTGCTGTTGCGTCATAACGGAGTTATGACATAACAATGCACTATTTTATGCTGCAGACCTAACTTCTCCCAGATCTATAATAGTATTGAAAGGAGTAATCCTTCTAAAATATATGTTCGTGAATACGGTTGCAAATCGCAACTACAGGTGTGTGATGACATTTTCCTTTATTCTGCTAGGAATAATCATCATTAATAGTTTTACAGATTCATAATTTTCCATTGTCTGCATTATACACAGCAGAACATACCTCTTGAAGTTTGAGTTTGATCCCAGACAATGTGGATGAATGACAACTGTTCATTGTTTATATTGAGACAATTATTTGACTTTGTACGAAGCAATATTTATATCACAACACCCACCTTGATACACCAAACAAACATTGACTATTGATATCGCATGAGCGTATTTGCAAACAAGAAAATAGATCGCTGCTTGATTTATGCGCACCTATGAATTCAAATAATTAATATTATCCCTATGAATTGAAATAAATTTTATTATCCTTATGAATTCTAAAGTTCACTTTCACGGTTTGTTTTAAAAACTGGAATTTAAAATGGCAAACAGCGATCATACAAACAAGCAAATTGATATAGTTTTAAGCTGAACCCCCCGAATCGTATGTATTTAAGATGTCATATTCTGAAGACTCACACTCTTCGAGTTCGAATTTGTGTTTGTCGGCTGTCACCACTGTCAAATGTCATAATATTGATTCATTTTTAGAACCAGTTTTTTCAAGGTCTAAACAGGCACATTTGATACGGTACTGTCTTCATTTAGTCGGTAAAAATCAAAATTTGTATTTCTCTGAAAGGTACTGGTTAGTCAGCAATACGAGTTAACCTCAGCTACCGCAATATGATACGAAAATATCAAACAACAGCTAGATTTATTAGTTTTACTATTGTGTTACAGTGACAAAGTCTCCACTGTCATGACAAATTTAGCAGAATTGCAAGCAACACTATCTCCTGACACAGATACTGCGTAAAGAGGCCTCTTTGTTACGGCAGTCATTACGGACCATATTGGAATTAACAGAAACACAAGTTGTAGCACGAGTCAGTGGCATTCAATAGAAAAACACATTTGCCTACGTACAATTATTCTACTCGCAACCTGGGCAATTTTCTAACTCTAGTGCAGTATTGCATACGCAATAGTGATTGAGCGCACCGACTACGAAGTAGTGATTGAGTGCACCGACTTGGGGCAACAATATTAACTATTATAGTTAAATATACGATTCCGTTCCACATACCTAGAATTTCTAGGAGAACACTCAAGCCCACCTCCACTATGACTAATTATTAACCCTACCGGGACACACATTCCTTTTGGCGGGCGATTGCATGTCACAATCAGTGTCATCAAAGAGAAATCTACCATGTTATTTTTCTGTTTTTATAGCGAACATAACCTCGCCTACATATTTACACCAATTTACTTAGTCCTCTATCAAGTTATCGCTGGTAACAATAGTTACGTGAGTGATATATCATACCCTAACAACAATTTCCTTGTCGAATACTGCTTCAGCACAAACAACATGACTTCGTATGTTGCCCGTTAATGCAATAGAGCATGAATCGTATTTGGTACATGTATGTATGTTATGCTCCTGTAAGTATATTTGTTGTATAAGTTCTAGGTTATAAGCATCGCGCGAACTATTCTTAGATTTTTGTTCTGCTACATAACTACCTCAACACAGAGGATAGCTTTACTCCTTCTAAGCAAGCGAGCGTGCTTACCTAAAACTAGCATGAGCAAGTAATCGAGGAAGTATTTTTGACGAACAACGACCTTAAAAAGTAAATCAGTTTTCTGACTTGACTCACCTGCATCACCCTCTTAGTGATTTCGCGACCTACAAGCCAGTCGAGGGCACAATTCTTCGGTGGAATTACACTAACGAAGAATTGAAACAGCGGACAGATGATCTTATCTCTTCATCGAAGAAGGTCTACAACACACTGGCCAGTCTAAAAGATGGTAGGGGGTGTGATCCATCATACATGATAGTATTGGACCTTGATGGTGTACTGATATTAAATATTCACCGAGATCTCTTCTATCGCATACTCCATGTAGGAATGCTTGAATACATGTAGCAAGCTGACACGTAATATAAATGTATACAAACGCCCACACCCACACCCACACCCACACACGTGTACACACACACACACACACACACACATAAACACACAAACACACACACACACACACACACACACACA